GAAGGCCCACATGACAGTGTTTCAAAGGCAGACAGTGTTCCTCACTGCCACCACTCTCAGCTCTAACTGTGCATGCTGGTTTGAGAGCTGGGTACGATATCTGGGAAAGGTGGAGGCTGGTTGCAGTGGTGGAGACACGTGATGTTGTATACACAGAGTGCTGCACAAGGAACACCTGGATTGTGCCACATCCATTGCTTACAGAGGAGGTTTCTGTTTTATTGCAGCACTAGACCATGCATAGAGCTGTCTTCTTGTCAGTCCTGCCTAACTTTACAAAAGCCTGTCCTGTCTGTACTCCATTAACTGGAAAATGTCATGCCAAAGTCAAGTGCTGTACTAAGACTTCACGCCACTTCTAAATGAACTGTTTTCAGAGCTGTGGAAAGTTATTTTCACAGAAGCGTCATTAAGTTTCCCTTTCTGATAGTTCTGCTGGGCTGAGTGGCACAAGATCTCTAATTCTCTTTCACAAATATTCTGAAAGAGAGGGTTATTCTAAGCATTGTACAACTTACTTTCATTCTTAACACAGAAAGATGTAAGGGTGAAAGGAATTTTAGTGGCACCAGCATCTGTGAGGTGGTGAATTGCACCTCTGAAATGCTGCTTTCACAAGCTCAGACTCTCCTTGGCATGGCAAACAAAGAGCAAAAACCTCACAGAGAGGAATGGCTGTAGCTGGGTCACCCCAACCAGCACACCAAGTTGGAATACCCAGCTCAGTACAATGAAGATAAGCTTACATAAATGTTTTGGTTCAAATTTGTTTTGTAAGGTAGTCAAGATTTACCAAAGGCTTTTTTAAGTCATATAATATGACATGGTCTTGAAAACTGGTTTTATATTTTCCCTTCTCTGACACTGTTTAGAGAGGTACATTCTCACTGTTTAGATGAGTTTGAGTCACGCCACTCTTTAATTTTGGAAAGCATCTTACATTAACATCTTTTCTAGGAGTGTTCTCACCACAGCTGAGCCCAAGAACATGAGCTTTGGCCCACTGGGTCTGTCTAGGTAAATATTCTTTCATTAATGTCAGTTCAATTGCAGACTAGGCCTTGGATTTCAAATCCTAAAAAAAGCGCACTTAAGAGGAATAGTAGAAAAGAGAGGAAATTGAAGGGTAGTTGCCAAAATATATAGAATAAAATGTTAGGGAAAACAACTGGGGGGAGGAAGAGGAACGATAAGCATGTAATTAATATCCAACTTTTAAAACAAAATCCCCAAAGTCTTACAGTTCTTACATTCAAGACTGTGTGAGCATATCATAGAGAAGTATCAGCTTCAGTCTGGTTTACGTAGTTGTCTGCTGTGTCCACTTTTAGACACATTTAAAAATAACGCTGAAAAATCTCACTTCCCTTCTCTTTTTTTTTTTTTTTCACTGTGGATAGCAAAGTAACAGAACTTTGTGAGCTTGAGGCTACACAGCTCCAATTGCTCTAATTACACAGCCAGGAATTTTACAATTGTACAGTAAGTCAACCCTCTTACAGGGACTAATGTTTAAATTGCAAATTCTAGATTGCTGAGAATGGGAAAAGGATTTATGTGGTTAAAGATGTGTGTTTGCTATTTACTAAACCTAACCACATGAACTAACTTCTATTCACAATTTTTTCTTGCAATAAATTAGAGTCTGTTATTTTTGCTTTGGCCTTTTAAGCTCAAACCTGGTTTCTGATTTTAAGATGCTCCTCAAACAGAGGAATCATAGGAAAAGATTATGTGCTAGATTAGAGAAAAAGCTTGGTTAACTGGTGCATGTTAGCTAATGCTGAGCTAATTTTAACCTCTTTTTGCTACCTAATAAACAAAGTCTTTGGTATTAGACTTGTCTTACTAGATTCCTTACGTGTTCAGTTACGTTTATACTACAAACTCAAATTCCTGAAATATTACAAGCCAGTTTTAGCAGAAGAAAAATGTAGCCTTAAAGGTTTGATTCAATACTACTACTAGCAGTGAAGGTTAGGAAAAATAGGAATAATGTTTTAAAGACTGTACAAAAGCATTAATGTGAAATTGTTCTGGTGAATAATTTATTTTTAAAGGCCTAAACTATTTTTCATCAAGGATTTTGTCACCTCAATGTCTAAATTTTCTTAGGAAATACATTGAGGAGGCCCATCTAAACAGAGATGAAGCTATACAGAAATGAAAAAGTTAAAAGTAGTCTAGGAGTGGGGTTGAACATGCCAGTCTCACAGACATTTAATGAGATTCGCAAATACTCATGCAGCCCCTCTCCAAACTAGTGCCCTTTGCCTAAAAAATGAGCACAGCACTGTGATTGTGGGGATTACAATGCATGCTAGAAATACCCCCTCTGCCCTTTTTTTTAAGAGCCAGGCCCAATGCCAAAGAGCCTGAAGAAAGGCAAATTCCCATGCCATATCACAGAGCATCCTCCCCACATTTTACCCAGATTTTCCATCAGCCAAATGGGAGTAAAGAACAGGAGAATGGGCAGTCGCTTCTGCTGGCGCTTCAGAGTACAAGACTCTGAGTTCAGTAATTAATAGGCTTTCACTCTTTTGCTGTGCTATACAAAAAGAAATGAGCATAATAAGCAAATACAATTTTGTTATTCTGTGCTTTACATCTCTGCTCATGTATATCATGGTAGCGTAAAAGTTATAGCTGAGGCAAGAGAAGTTCTTTCAGGTTGTTGAAATAACTGGTGCAGCGTAATCTGCTAATGATGCAGACAGGAAAAGGTTTGGAGGGTTCTGCAGAGGTTTGGTGCTTGTGCAGCCTTAGCATCTATTTTAGGATTGGGAAGAGATCATTAAGATTTCCAAGTGAAAATGCGAGACGAAAAATGACTGAATAAATGATGAACAGAGCTATGAAATCAAGTTCCCATTATTTAATAGATCACCATTCATTCCTGGAGCTATGGTAACTGACAGGGCACAGTTGCTGAACCAATCCACTTTCAAAATAAAGTAGGTAACCTAGGCTATTTATTTTCATAAGGGCTCAGATTAAGATCATGCATGTGGCTCATTATCATGGCATGTGGCTCAGATAACTGGGGTAATTATCGAACTGTGGCAACTCAGTCAACTTCTACCCATGGTAACAGGGAAATTAGGAATGTTTTGCTTCTTTAAATTCATATTTTTGTTTCTCTACCTACAGCTAGGACAGCCAGCTGCCTCCCTTGCCCTTAGGCCATCTGTATATGTAGGGATGGAGAGGAGGGAACAGAAGTCAGCACTTTCAACTCTCTGCTGAGGAGATGGGAATTAAGGGAAGACCTCAGGTTGCCAAAGTAAGAAAAGACAAACTCAAGGATGGCTATACTACAATACAGTAGTACTTCCCTGTCTGTTACACACTGGGGTAAATACACAGAAACAGGTATCTTGATCATAACATAAAAGCCTTGGTAGACAAGTAGGCATTTACAATGATCTTCCATTAATAGTACAGAAAAGATGAACACGTCCTTTTCCTTTCTGTTACTGGCAAATTAATCCAATGTTTGAATGTTTCAAAGCATTTACAGTCAGTCTGGAATGGGGGTTTCTCCAGATAGCAATGCCATCAGCCACATGCAGCTTTTGACCCAGATCTGCCAAGTCTTGCTGGCTGAGGAAAAAACTCTCACTTTTGGAGCCAAAGAAGGTACTTGCATTTACTTTGTCTGGTTACTGAACTGGGCAAGACACTTTCCGATGAGCAGAACAGGCAGAGACATGAGCTCAAGCTTGAAGGGATGGGAGTGTTTGGGGAAAGGAGTGACTATGAAGAAGAACCTGTGGGACTATCACAAAGGCAGTCAGGAGAAAAGGCAAGTCAGGCAGCATCTCCCATTCCCATCTCAGTTCCTCACCCAAAGTTCTAACCATCACGTCACTCAGCCTGCTTGCTCCTATCTCCTGGTCCCTGTGTTGCCTGGTAGCCTGACCCGTCTGCCATCTCTGTCATTCTCCCACCAAGGCCAGGAAGGCAATGTAACGCAAATGGCTGGCTGGAGAGGAGAGAAACTCCTGAAACACCTGAGAGGCCAGGCTGCCCAACGCTGGGCACGACGGACAGCGGGCATGTACCTTAGTAATACCAGCCAGGCTCTCCCGCCTCCAGTCTTGTTCTCCTTTGACAAACAAGTGTAACAGCTGATACTCTGGGGAAACGGCGTGCGGAGGACACTCCTGAAACAACACTCACACAGATTTTTAGAGCTGTGCCTGCGTCGCCGCCAAGGCTGTGCCGGCGGCCGTCCCGCACCGCCCGAGCTGCGGGGCTGCCTTCCCCACGATGGGCTCGTACGGCTGGAGGGAAAACCCGGGAGAAGCCTGTCTTGCCATGCCTGCCCCGTCAGAGCCCTCCAGCCAAAGCCGCTGGTAGTTTTTGTGCCGCCTCCGAAAGAAGAAAAAACATCTGTAGGAACAGGGGTGACGGGAAACATGCCGGAGGTGGCAGCCAGGGTCTGTGCAGGGCATGAGGCTGAGGAAAAGCCTCCGCTCCCCGCGGGGCGCAGCCTCGGGCACAGCCGCCTGGCAAGGGCCGGGTTTGCCAAGTTGGCGGCAAAAGAGGCGGAGGAGGGTTCTCGGAGCTGGCGCTGAGGGCGGCATTTGTCGCTCCTCTCCCCCACCGGTCACCCCATCCCCTCTTCTCCCACGCCGCGGGGGCGGCGGGGGCGGCCGCCCTGGCAGTGCCCACGGAGGCAGCGGCCGTGTTTGCGTTTGTGCCGGCCATTCACATGGAAACCGGCTCGCAGCGCCCCCGCACCCCCGGGCTGCCCGGGCAGCGGCCAGCTTAGTCCCGCTGTGCCCGGCCGTGGTCTGGCCGGGCAGCTGAGCTGTCAATGCCCGGGGTGCGGCTCAGCTTCCCTACCGGCCCGGTAAGACGGGCGGGGGCTGCCCCGGCAGGGCATCCCCGCCCTTGGCCGGGCTGGGCAGCCGTGGGCGGTGGCGGCCCGGGCAGTGCCGCCAGGCGGCGGGGCGGGGAGCGGGGGAGGTGGGGGCGAGGGCGGCTCTCACTCCTCTGCTCTCCTCTCTTCCCTCCCTCTCGGTACCCCCGCCTCCGACCTTCGCCGCTGTCCCACTGCGGGATCGCGTCTTGGACCGGCCCGTCCCCTAGGAAGTGGTGAGGGGGGCCCGGCCATGGAGACCCTCGTGCGCCCCGGGGCCAGCAAGCCTCCCACCGGGTAAGCCTCTCTCCATCCCGCTGGGATCCGGGCCCGGCCGGCCACCGCTCGCCTGCACGGGAGGAGCGGCTCCGGCCGGCGACAGCGGCCGTGCTGGCCGGAGGGCCTCGGTGTGTTCCCTCCCTCCCGCCTGCCTCCCTTCTCTCTCGGGGCGGCGAGAGGGAGCCGGCGCGCAGGTGTCGGCGTCCGGCCCGCTCTGAGTGCAGCCCGGGGGGAGAGGGGGCACGGCGGGAAGCAGGGGGCTGCGGGTAGTGAGCTGGGGTGCGGAAAGGTCAGGAGCAGGAGAAAGTGCCTGTTTCGCCTTTGCCCTGCGGGAGGGGCGCCCCGGCCCGGCTGCCGGCGCTACCCCTCCGGCGGCGAGAACGGAGAGCGGATTGGGTTCGGGGGTTATTCCTGCAGAAGCTGATCGGGACGGCAGGCAGCCGACCCGAGCCGCCGGGGCTGGAAGCCGGGCCACCGACCGGGAGGGAGCCGGGGCCGCGGCGTTTTTGGGGCGGACCCGCCCGGCCGAGGGTCTGGGGCAGCCCCCGCGGCCGCAGAGGTTCTCGCCCGAGCGGCCAGAACGCAGCTGCCAAAAGCCTTTGAAAGGTTTATTCAGCCGTCCCAGCTGTGGGTCCCTCGGCCCGACCGCACGGCCGTGGCAGAGGAAGGAAAAGCGTTGCCCAACTTCCAATTAAAAACGCCGAAACTTGTCCGAGGTTGGTGGGTGACCGCAGTGCCGGCCGGACACAGGGCACCTGCGGACTCTGCTCCCAGTTCCTCCTGCCTTTGGTGACAGGCACCGCTCTCGCAGCACTCTTGCTAAATAGCAGTCAGTCCTAGTGTAAACCGCGGGTGGGTTTGGGGTTTCTCAAGAGAATAAACAAATAAAGAATGTTCCAGCAGTGAATTTATTAGTCCGTTAATTAAACGAGACGAGAGCAACGGCATGCTGAGGTCCTAAGTGATCTCTTTTGTCAGAGTAGAAGCTGGGCAAGTTTTAAGAGCTGTTCTGTCTGCTTGCAGCAATTTACTGCTCTACTTCACACTGCCTGTACGGACTGAAAGAGGCTGTGATTGCTTCAGCTGCGTTTTTATTTTTAGTTCAAATGTTTATGTCATAAATTTATTTTCAACGAAGTAGGAAACAGCTTTAAAGTATGTGCTAGTGGGCTACAGCAGTTTTGTTTCCTTAGTTTGGGTTCAATAGGAAACCTTGTAGTGCCTAACACAGAAAGTAATACAGGGAGCAGAGGTTGAAGATGCCATTGATAGTGCTGTGGTAAGGAAACTGTGTGTGCCACGTTTCTTTGACTTGCAGAGCGTGACATAGCTTGCTTCTCTATTCGTAAATAAAATGCTTAATTCTAGTTGAAAATGAACCTGTTTGATCACGACCTTTTAGGCTTCCAGGAAAAGGAGTACATAGAAGGTGCCTGCCCCTCAGTGTATTTAGTTAACATAAAAGTATAGCTGCTTTCTAAAATTCTGATGAAGAGGAGATCTCTGGTGTTTACACGTGTGCTTTGAAGAGTAACTCAGAGGCAGTGCTGTTTAAAAATTTATGTTAATTTGTAAGTATCCAAAGTTTCAGTAAAGAGTTTGAATTTGAAATGAGAACATGTAGTTAGTGCATCTCACAGATGAACACTGGAGTCTGGGGGCATTTCTGAACAAAACTTCTGAATCCTTTGGAACCAGTTTCATCTGTGTAAATTTATCTACAGCCAGACTTGGATATCACATACAGGAACAGAAATTACAGTAACTGCATTAACTTCAGATTGCTTGTGACATGGCTCAAGGAGATCAATCCAGTCGTAAGGTGCAGATGCACTTGTGATATTGTATAACAGAATGTGTGGGTGCTAATCTGCTCCTGGGGAAGCTGATGGCAGCACTGTCATGTGCACCGAGGGGGGACTGCCTCTTTTATCTGAGCTCTGAATTTCAGCCTTGAAATACTTCTTGTTGCCCTTTCTTGCAAGTCAGAGGTTCCCAGCCTGGATGTGTCACTGCTGTTACATGGGGCTTCACTGAATAGTTCGTAAATCCCTGAGCTGCTAACATCCATATTGGATATCAGTGGATATTTGGGCCCTAATCAGATTTTACTTGCTCAGTGACAAAATCTGCTAGAGTCAGGCAAGTGTGGCAAGAGGACAGCTTTGTCTGTCCTTTTTGGTTCCCCTGTTAATCCAGACGTGAACTGCATCTATGGAGTGTGCTTGGGGACCTTTGGCTGTTCAGGCCGTTGTGACAGAAATACCTTCTTTTCATGGCAGAAGAAATGCCGTACATGGTTCCAGCTTATTGATTGAGTTAGCCTGCAGTTATGAAAGAGAGGTTAAAATGACTGCAGCTTCACAATTTTTAACAAAATTTAGGCAGAGCTGTTTTGTCTCTATGTAAATCATTAACAGCAACATTATGAGCTTCCCTTGTTAAACAGTGAACAAATTTAATGTATCATTTGGTGCAGGGTAGAGTAGCTCTACTGTGTGCATACACAAATAATTTGACTGTGTGTTTCATGGTATGGCTGCTTGAGAATCATGCATTTAAAAGGAGGATACTGTTGTGGGGTTTTTTTGTTTTAAATGGCAAAGGAAAACTGCAGTTTATGCTGGTGTTGCAGGATTTTCTCCATTTCTCAGTTTCAAAAATAATTGCAGACTTCAACACCAAGAATTTTATTATTACTAATTGTTAGGTATGAGTTTTATAAAGCTTTACCAAGTCCATAATGCTTTATTTAATTAACTTTTTTTTTTAACTTATGAAGGTGAATTTAAGACAATCAGTAGCATCAGCAGAAATTAGGATTTACTCTGTGATCATGCAACAGAAGCTAAAAGATAAAAAGAAACTAGTTTAAAATGTACTACCTTAGTTTCTACATCTGCCATTACTTCAGTAGGGAGAGCAGAGATAAGCTTCTCTGGATGTCTTGATTGTTTACTTTTTTGACCATAATATGGCACGACAGACATGCATTGGTCATAAGTGGCCCAGCAGGCTAAAGCCTAAAATGAGAACTTACAAGATCAATTCTTCTCTGCTCTTTAAGAAGACTTGCAAAGAGCAGAGCATCCTCCCCTTTCACTGTGCACATCTCCATCTCCCACAGAAACCAGCTGTTTGTAGGTCTATCTCCATGCCTTTATGTCTGAGCACAGAAAAGCTTCTGCTGGAGTCTGGCAAATGTGGGGAAAGCCTCTATGTTAAACTGGATGTAGGAGCTCTTTTATTTAAGTAGAACCTTTATTTTCTGTGCTTCAACATCCTTCCCTATCTCCCAGGGCCTTACAGTACTAACAAATACAGGCACACATTAGAACACCTGCTTTGAAATGATTTGTCTGCTGGATTGAAGTGATACTGGAAGTCAGGTAGACGGTGTGAAACATCAGTAATATTTACTTGCAGAACCTGTATTGTTATACTCTGCTGTATGTGCAGAGTAGTGGATGGCAAAGGGCAGTTACTGCAGTTAGAAATGTAGAGTAGTAATGTGGTAGAATCACAGAGTGGTTTGGGTTGAAAGGGATCGTCTCATTCGAACTCCACTGCCATGGGCCGGGACACCTTACACTAGACCAGGTTGCTCAAAGTCCCATTCAACCTGCCTTGAACACTTCTAGGGATGGGGACATCCACAGCTTCTCTGGGCAGCCTGTTCCAGTGCTTCACCACCCTCACATTAAAGTATTTCTTCTAATATCTAACCTAAAGCTACCGTCTTTTAGCTTAAAGCCATTGCCACTTATTCTATCTCTGCATAGTACCAACTTTGAAGATTGCTGTCTTGACCAGTTGCAGGACTGATACTAGAGCTTTTGGCATTGTTCTTCATGTTGTGTCCCCATTTGTATCTGCACCACTCCTGCAGTATTCAGTTGACTCTTCTTATGTGTCCACTTGAGACAAGGAGCTTCCCTCTGATGCATTTTTCTGCACCACAATCAACCTTAGCCCTATTTTCCTCTCAGTCTGGGTCCAAAGTATTTCTTTCCATATCAGTGGAGATACATCACATTAAATAAAACTCTGGTAAGAGTGACAGAAGAATTTTTCTTACTATTGCTAAGAATGAAATCAGGAAATTTTTACTGTGTTTTTCAACTCCAGTATAAGTGTTAAGGTAATATACTGTAAGAGATTTGTATTTTCAATCATGACTAATATGTCAGGATTGCTGAAGATAAGGATGCTAACTGTAATAGGAAGCTAAATGGTGAGATAAATGCAATACAATCCAGTCCTGAAAGCTGTTCTTTCTGAATTCTAGCTTCCCATTTGTTATATCTTACTTCCTCCCCCTTTTTTTCATTTCTTCCAGAAATCTTCCAGAAAATGTACCAGAGTAGAGGATGAAATAGAAGGCTTTGTAAAATCTCTTTCATTTCTGGACTGACTAGAATATTCAGGATTTGTGTTGACTTTCCCCATCTTCCAGTCATTTCCCATTATTTTCTTTCCCATGAATAGCTTTTATATTTTTTTTGTCTTGCTCTTTTATGGCACTCCTGCCACTGTTAGATGAAATTGAACCTTCTCTTTCCTACTGTCACCTGCCTTGGTTGTTCTTCATATTCTTTCCCTTGTAATTATAGATTCATTTTTCTGCAGGTTTTGCTCATGTTTTCATTTTTCAAAATTACTAGTTTTCATGGAATCACTTCACCACTCCTCAGGAGGTAGCACTACATTTTGATAGGACAGATTTTACTTACCCCCCCATCTGGGCCGGTGGCACCAATTTCAGGATTCTTCACTAGAGAAGGGCGGGTTGATTACGTTTTGAGCACTCTCATGAGTACACTTTTAGATGATGCTGACTATTACAGAAAAACAACTTCCTAAATATTGAAGTCAGTTCAGTAAATACATGGCTGCTTTGTGTGTACTTAATCTGGCTAGAGATGGCATATATTTCTTTTTGCCGATTAATTCAGATCACAATGCATGATTATGGCCAGAATGAATGGAATTTTTTTTGCCTTCAAAGGAATGAGAGT